TGCATCAATCCATCGCCCGATCACCTGCTCCGTCAGCCGGCAAAAGTCCTTGAGGTTGGTCTTGTGGAGCTCCTTCAAGATCGCGCGAGGGCTCCACGGTCTACCAGCGCGACGAGCTGCTGCTTCGACCTGCGACCACAATATCGGGTTGAACCAGTTGGTATATTTGGCGTCGCGTTTCGTGTTCTTTGGCTTCTGCTTTCGGCCGGTGGGTTTCTTGATTTTTCGACTATCCTCCTTGAATTGACGGTGAGGACGTGAGAGCTCAGGGAGAGTGAGATCCGGAGCAGGTGTCTCGTCATGTTCCAGGAGATCTACGCGCTTCTAAGACGGTGCGAATGTTAGTCCAGAATTGGATCACGTAGCGGCCGGACTCACTCGTTTCATTCCAGGGACCCAACCCTCAGCTAGCTTCGCATCGCGGACACGATCCCTGTGTCGCTGCATGCGCTCGTTGGCCATGACACGGTGCCTCGCCATCTTCTTCCGCTTCTCGTCCACCTCTCTCAATCGCACCTGCTCGGACCGCTCCGCGTACTCCCTCGCATCGTTCTCCCAGCGTATAGCCTTCTCCTCCGCCGTCTCCACCTTCCAATAGGCAGTGATCTTCGGTTTGGCTGCTGTGGCTGGTGCCGCAGGCTGGGCTGGCGGAGGAACCGCGTGGGTACGACCAGTGTGCGCGAGCATGGCCTCGTCATCTGTGTTGTCCACTTCTTCGAGGTCGGGCATGCCGCTAGCAACAGACTCGATGTCAGAGTCCATCGCGGCATCGCTGTCTGTGGGCATGGCCTCGTCGTCGGTATTGTCCACTTCTTCGAGGTCGGGCATGCCACTAGCAACAGACTCGATGTCAGAGTCCATTGCGGCGTCGTTGTCTGCAGTCGGGGTGTCGACGAAGGTGAAGTCCTCGGATTGGGACATATCGAAGGAGCTTTCGCTCAATTGGGACTCAGGCGGCACAGGAGCATCGTCCTCGGGGCCCCAGTTATATTCATCAGCGTCACCCTCACCACCGAGCTGTTCTCCTGCGCTGTCACTCTCGGAATCCGTACCATAACCGTCCCCATTCGCGCGGTGAGTCACAGGTCCAAAAACATCGACTGTGGTGCTCGGGGTGGATGGGGAGGTGTGGGGCGAGAATATGGGCCGGGGGGGAGCGGCTACATTCTCGTCAGCCCGTCGTTTGAATAGACGGCGCATCTCTGGGCTCGGAGTGGGTGTTGGAGCGTCGGGATGCCCTTTTGGATGTTTCCCACCCGTAGCACGCACAGCTGAGACTGGAGGTGGGCTGGAGGCGGGAGAGGAGATAGGGAACGTAAACGTGAAGTTGGCGCCTCGTGCAATGCGCCGCAGGAGGACAGGCGCGTCGGAATCCGAGTCGCTGTCGTTGTCGAAGGGAGCTGTGGTGGCTGTGAAATGATCGGACCGATCATCCGAGTCTTCGTCCCCCGCAATCGCAAGGGCTCTCTCAATCTCGAGCTATCGCATGGGTAAGTAAAAATCGCACAAATTAATCGCACGGCTGACGTACTTGCTCAAGGCCGCGCGCAGCAGCCTTATTGAAAGCCTCAAGCCGTGAATTGACGAAATCGGTAGGCACGGCCAAAGGGATGCTGGGATCGACGAAGTGCTGATGCGCGTTATCCACCAGCATCCCACATGAGAAGCCGTCCTCCTGGCGCCCGATGGGAAGGTCCGCGAGTTCGATTTTCGCCAGTGTGTGCTGCCCAAGCCACCAACGACAAGCGGCTAACAATTCCACAGGAACCGGGGACCCAAGGGAGTCGCCGTAGCAAACGACACACTCAGCGCGACAGTCGAATACGACACCCACCCAATGCGGCTCATCCGTGATCTCCCCAAGGTGCGCCGAGGTGATCAAGGCAGCCTGATTCTGTACCATGTCGTCGCCAATATCACGGATCCATCGCAGATCTTGAGCTGTCCAATATGTGCCAGTGTCGGCTGCGCGATGGGCCTCGAGGATCTTGGGGAGAAGCGCAGTTCCCCATACGCGAAACTCCTTCATCAAATCCGGGCTGCTATTGATTTTGTAGCGCAGAAGTTCGAGCATATCGTTCATCTGAGAACCCGCCAACCAATGTTGTCCGGCAAACCGCCAAAGTGTATACAATGGCTCCGAATCGGAGAGGCCTGGCGGCTTGGAACAGCCCCAGGGAAGCATCGCAAGCATCATGCTTGCTTGCTCCGCCAGTGCCGCACGGGTAGGATTTTTTTTGCTGACTCTCTTCTGACGGTTGATCCAGTCCTGGGATTTCCTCCAGGGCCCCCACGCATCACGCTTGATGTCGCCCACCGCTGCCCAATATGTCAAGATCCACAACGGGAAGTGAGTTATGACACCGCCGAGATGACTATAGATCACAGATTGAACTCCATCAAGCCAGCATTGACGACTGCAGGCGAGGAGCTTGTGAACGGTCTTCGAGTCTGGAATAGGAAGACGCCGCACGCGAAGCATCAATGCCTCGTCGGTGATATCTGGAGCAGCCTTGCTGAAGTACTGAGCAGGTTGGGGAGCCGTGATGGTCGCGTTTTGGAGGGGGAGTGTGAATTCCAGCATTTTTGCGATGGGGAGGTACAGCGATGGAAGAAGTTCGTGTTCGAGCACCTGCGGAATAGAGAAGAACTCCGCCGCTATTTTTCTGACCATCGGCGGGGTGGATGCCCCCGCCTTGCCTTGTGCAATCCAGTCAGATTTTTTGAAGATGTTGGTGTCCATTGGTAGAGGGATGAGAGACGAATAAAATTGCATTTTCTCTGCGTACATAAAACTATGAATCCCCCCCAAAAAATGGTACAACCGGCATCACCCGGTTTCACGATTGTACCTGCTCAATATCTCTTCGGCTATGGTAGCAAGTAGACATTTAGAGAATTAAGCGAACGTGAAGCCGACCAAAGCTGTCTGAAAGAGGCCGAAAGGCAACGAAGTCGTCCCACCTGATTACCTCTGAATTTTTAAATATTGCTATCAACTTCTTGAGCCCCGTACGTCTTCGGATCGCCGCTGGGGAGCGCTGCGCGTGCAAGGGCAGGCTGATTGACAGAATGAACATTTGGCAAGAAGGTGACGCTATCAGTTGGGTTTTGAACACCGAACCCAGTGAACATTTGAGGTGACGGGTGACATGGTGTGAACATTCGGTCGAAATGGTACAGTAATCCTTCCCAAGCTATTGTTACTCTTATCATTTCTTCCTTTTCATCCTCGACAATTAGCTTACATGTATATATACCACTTAGGTAGCTCCAGCACTTCAGCTGGAAAATTAATGTTGTTTCCATGTTTCCTTTCATGGACTGAGTCCTTCACTTTCAACCTCGTCCTCGACTCGACTCCAGAGTTATGCCCAAACCTCTGGATGTCGTCTTCGTACTTTGCCTTTACTACTGGTCCATTTTCTGGTCCATTTCCGGTTCACCTCGTTCTTCTTCATCCTTTGCCTTTGCCTCCATTCGACCTCCAGTGCACCTCTGGTCATCCCTCTGGTTCCCACGCCACTCTGACGGAACTCCAGTTTCCTCCAGTTTATCTCCGGGAACTTGCCCCTCATTCCTGGACAAGGCATTCAATCTTGTTGCCTTTTCCAGAGTAGCTCTACTCGGATCAGACTTCCCAGTCATGGAGTGTTTCCATTCTAGTCCCGGCTTGACAGCCAGACAGTCGTACACCCTTCTGAGCTGTGGTGCTTCCAAGAACAGCCAAATCTTTGCCTCCGGTCCTTTCCGGTTTCCAGACGTCTTCTGGATCTGGACTCTGGCTGGACTTCTTGTCCCCTCTGGCTCAGGATATAACATACTGTCATAATTACTAAACCTGAAATCCTGTTGAGACTGCCAAGGGGCGCGTCTAACCACAACAAAATATGGCCATAATTTTGCATACCTGTACCAGCAGCCCTCAGAGATGCTGCTTGTATGGTATGGTACCTTCTGTAGCCGTATGCCAGCTGTATTTGTACAGCCGCATGCTGTATACTGTACGGCAAACAGCCCTACTGGTATAGTGGTGGCAGGAACCGGAACCCAAAAAGAGGATTGTAAGCATTTTTTTGGAGCTATATTGTTCTATGTGGATAGGGTTCTCTTGTGCAAAAAAAAGGTGGAAATTAGTGCAGATGGTATGCTATGTGCCTGTGTGTGTTCCTTGCCGGGTCATTGCCACTGTTTCATTTTCTCATCCAAGCTTCCCTTTGTTGATGCTCAACGGGCCTCACTCTATGCAATATACTTCTTGTCGTTGGTGTGTAGTCATATTAAATTCACAACTGTGGACCCGACTAACCTGTTCTGTTGTAGGCAGCACCCATTGTCTGTCAACTTGAACTGCTTGTGGTTCCAGTGCAACATCCCATTGCTCATGTGACATCCTCTCAGTCCCGCTCTCACACTCCAGCCGATGCTGGAGACGTTCGGCCTCAAGCCCTAAAATCAGTTGTCAAGCTGGCGATTAGATTAGATTAGATTAAAGCGGATCCCGGAATGTGGCTGGGTATCAATGTCATTCCCTGTGCTATGTTTACATCCAGTATATTTATACGACACACTTGTTCTCTGCAAGGGCATTGATTTGTAGGGTTCAAAGAGCTCTACAGGTATCACACGTGTGCGGAGTGATCCCATCAACTTTCAAACCGAAAAAGGCAATATGAGTGAGTCTATGTGGATATGGTTTTTTCAAGCAAGAGTCAAAGTGGAAATTCGGGCGGATGGTATGCCACACGTGCCTGTGTTCCTTACCAGGGCCATTGCCACTGTTGGGATCAAAGCCAAAAGCTGGCTTGGGCTTGGGCTTGGGCTCGGGGGCTGGCTCGGGTTGCAGACATTTAGAGATGGATTATAGCTCATTTATTTAATGGGTGATGTTACTTAAGTTACAGTACAGACATTGAGGGAACAAAAAAAGCTGCACCATAATTGGACCTGGGCCATCCACAGAACGTGGTGCGCAGCAGTTACTTCTCATGTTGAATGACGGTTGCTTAGCTCAGTGGTTAGAGCAGCTCTGGTGCAATCACTAGAATGTCCTGGGTTCAATCCCCAGAGCCACCGTTCTTTTCCCATTTGTCACAGGCAATAGCTTTATATAACATGCCAGTCAGTTTAAATAACTTGCAAATAAACCCGAACGTGCACAACCTAGGGTTAGAGTTACAGTTAGACTAGGGTAGAGTTGGAGTTACACATCAGTGGGCCTAAATAAACACACTAGGCCTAGGGTTAGAGTTAGAGTTACATACTAGTGAGCGTAAATAATCACACAATTGCGATGCAAAAACCCAAATTCCGTGGATTCCTGATTTTCAGACGAAAAAAACCATATTCCATAGGGTTCAAAGGAAATCAGTCATTTCTGTTCGCGGATTAGCGATAATCAGACTAAAAGTGTGCATAAGAACATATATAACACACCAGTCGGTCTAAATAAATGTGCAATTACCTGGCTAGCCCGCCAAAATGCCAGATTCCGTCAAAAAAGCCAGATTCCACCCAAATACCCATCAATGTGCCACCAAAATGCCACATTCTACTGTATCTTCCATCAATTCCCAGTTTGACGCACCAAAATCCCAAATTCCCCTGGATCCGGACGAAAATATATATATATAACTAGGGTTATGTGCTAAATAAATGGAGCCTGGCCCCAGGTTCCAGGATCAGATACATAGGAACATGATTGTGGCGGCGGGACCAGTGGTAGAGGCCCGCAGTTTGGCACAAATCTAGTTGTATATGCACTCAATTTGTCGCATGAAAAAGTGGAGGCGGGGAAAGAAGTTTGGGTTTAGAGATAATATTTTCTCCTGACATATATTGCCCAGTTTCGGCATTTCTGCACAAGGTACATGATTGCGGCGGTGGGACTAGTGGTAGAGGCCCGCGCTTTGGCACAAATTTAGTTGTATATGCTTCCAGTTGTCGCATAAAAAAATCGAGGTGGGGGAAGAAGTTTGGGTTCACAGAGAATATTTTCTCCTGGCATATATTGCCCAGTTTGGGCATTTCCGCACAAGGTACATGATGGCGGTGGTGTAACTCGTGGTAGAGGCCCGCGGTGTGGCAAAAATCTAGTTGTATATGTGTCCAATTTGTCGCATAAGAAAATGGAAGCAGGGCAAGGACCTTTCTGTCGCAGCGCATATTTATTTCAGCCCTGTTTGGTCAAGTTATGGATGTGGATGAGTAGGTACATATTTCTCATACATCATTGCGGAGGAAGGACACCCGGGAGAGGCCTGCGCGTTGGTGGAAATATAGTCATATATAGACCGGATTTGTCACACAAGAAATTGGAAACGGTGCATGACATTGGCTTCCACAGAGAATATTTTCACCTAGCATGTGGCCCCATTTGGGCAATCCCGCAGAAGGTACATGTTTTGCATGGGTGGGACATGTGGTAGAGGCCTGCTCTTTGGTAAAAATGTAGTGCTATATAGGCCACATGAGTCGCAGGAGAAACTGGATGGCGCGCATGAAGTTTTTGCGACCACAACGAATGTCTTCTTCACGCCGTTTAGTGATGTGTTTAGCTTCACAATGCAAAATCACGTGTTGCGTCCGCTATAAGTGTTGGAGGAGGCTGAATTTTTGGTATGGCATACATTGACATATGGTAAAGACATCGAGCGCGAATCATGTACAGTTGAGGCCTATCCATGGGGTGATCGACAGCGATTGAGGATGTGGAGCGCGCGATCAATAGTGATCGGCAATAATACCAAAAAAGGAAATTTGATCCCGATCGGATAGGGGGCTTATCGGAGGACTTCTATAGCTAGGTTATCTGTGAGTCGTTCTTTCTCAGTTGAGTGCTTGCACTTACTCAACAGTGTGACTTTCAGAGCCATAATGGCACACTTTCAGCTTTTGTGAAAACATAGGTATTGATTGGTGTCTCAACAAAGTATCATCGGAATAACCTGCAGGGATTATTCATGAATCAGTGAGTGGGATATCAGATACAGATGAATAATCACTCAAAAGAATGTTTTTATTAAAATAATAATGCTCTGAACACAGCTTAGACCTCCTGTATTCAAGCCCTGGCTTGACAGCCTCGCTTGGCTTGGAAAATCTGAAGCCAGGAGCCTAAGCCAGCCCAAGCCAGCCTTGTGGCCTGGCCTGTCTTGACAAAGGGTGGTTCACAAAGTTAAGCTTGGGCAACGTATTTTGAGGGGCTTGTACATTGTGAAGAGATAAATCAGCTGCCACCATGTATTTTGGGATCTCAATTAGTATAAGCTTAGAAGATAGAGTTGGTGTGATCATCAGCCTATTTACGCAATGTGTCGTGAGGTAATCCACTCGCGACTCGAGACCAGCAACATATTCTGCCGAATGTGATTGCTGCAACGAGATTTTGGCACGCTTTGCCGCTCGGGAATCAGCGGATTGGTTACACGAGCACTTCGGGCGACCTGAAGGAGTGGTCGAGGGCACAGAACTAGAGGAAGAAGCAGTGGCTGGCGATGACGTCGAAAGAGATGCGGTGGACAGTAATGATGAATATACAATACTCGGCATATGAGAGACGAGATATGGCACCGAAAACCGATTTTCTGAGTCGTTGTCTTCACCCTCCGAATCATCCATGTCGGACCAGGCATGGGATTCGAGTACAGTCCCATTCGGGAGGTATCTCGGGCGTGCAGGATGGAAAGGGAACGAGGAGGGAAAGTCACGTGCAGCCGTGGAGAAGGGAATGCTTGGAGCATAGTCAGCATCAGTAAAGATGTCGGGATTAATTGGCCAGCTGCCACAGGACTTCTAGGCAGAGATGATTGTTGATTCCTTGAAACATTCGTCACGAACATCCATATATTCCTTGATGAAATCTTCTTTGCGCATCTCCTCCCCTGTGTCCTCGACAATCTCGTCGCAACGCTCGATCCAGCGACGTTGAAACGGGCCGAAGACACCGACATCCAGCGCTTGGAGCATGTGTGTTGTATGCGGTGGAAGAGACACAAGGATAATATTGTGTTCCTTAGCGTAATGGAGAATCTCGGACGTCTCGTGGGATCCGTGGCCATCCCAGATGAGCAAAATAGGCTTCCCCGACTTATTCCTTGCAGTAGCCTGAGGTACAAACGACTTCTTAAACCATTCGGTCCCAAGAAAGTCATCTGTCCATCCGTTGACAGACATCGCAATACTTGATTGTAGTTAATCAGCGGATGGAGCGCCAAAAATATTTGACAGAACATACGTAATCTCAGGATCCACTTGGAACCACTCGGGACAGAACTCTTTCCCCAAGAACACAAATCCAGGCTTAAGGGAGGTGCTGTCGGCTGAAATACACTCAATGATGGTAATGAGCTCGAGATTGGCGCTCCGAAACTTGTAGTTGGTCCAGGACTGCCTCGGAACAAAGTATTTTCGAGAACTGCTCTTTTTCCACCCCTCGCTGGATGCCCTTTTTGTCCATATTGTAGATGTTCTCGATCGGGATATCGTGTTCCTCGACCAACTTCTGCAACATCTCGAAGTAACGCCCAACGACAGGACGGTTGAATGCCTGAGCACGCCGAGGATCAAGACCTGAAGCCTTCCCGAGTTTGATATCTGGATGCCGTTTGAGAAACATAACGAGCCAGCCCTTGCTCGGTCGTTTGCCACATACATCACGGACATAATGCCTGACCACTCGTTTACACACAGGGTGGCCTGTGGAAGCGAGATAGAGAAGCCACTCGACGAGGGCCTGCTCCTGAGCTGGGGAAAGAAGCATTTGGGCTTTGTGTGCTTCTTTGGCAGGACGTGTGAGACGCAGGAAGCGATTGCGCAGAGTACCGTAAGGAAGACCAAGCTCAAGGCTGATCTTCTTGATGTTGGGCTTGAGCATCTCGCCGAGAATGAGGCATGCCTGCTGGTATCTGTTTTCGAGATCTTCATGTGCATTTTGGTCGTGTAGCGCCGCGGCTGTGGGCATCAACACGCACGTCGAGAAGAAGCGTGATCGTGTTCGGAAAAAATGTGATCTATCAGAAAGCCCGGCAACGGTCGGAGTTTAAAATGTCACGATCAAAACGATGTCTACACGGCATCGACGTGTCCTGCCCCGTTTCGCTTCGGATTTTTTTGTGGCATGTTCTATTCTGTGTAAAGAGTCTATATATGAAAGCCGGAAGGGATCGGTGAAGAGGGAGTGGAGAAATACGATATTTTAAACTTGATTCACTGGACTGATGGCCACCTTCGTGGTATCTCTCTCAGTTTTGGACGGGACACCTTGATTTTTTTTTGGGATTCCTATGAAGAATATATGTCGGTTGAATTTCCGCGAAATCCGGAGGGAATCCGTTGAGAAATGAGCTCAAGCGACGGCTGTTTCAAACTCTATGTCCGTTTCAAGCCCAATGTAAGCCATAGTACGGCTGCCTCGACTCATCTGCTGAGTGATGGAGGAAGAGAACAAGAAAGATGTCCATGACAATGGTGTACTCGGAATGATGCGAACAGCTATCCTAAAACACGCGTCAATTGAAATGTTCCTCACCTCGGTCTGAACACGCCGCTCTTTTGTATGCAACGCTAGGCAGCACTCCAGAATCGCTGATATTTCCAAGTGTCGGTGACAGCGGTGCCAAATACTCATGCTTCTCCCGCAGGCATGTATGGTTGATTCCTGGCTGAAGAACGTGCTGCATGTTTATTCCGCGGATGTCGCCCGGGTCCCCACCGTCGGCGTCAACGTGATGATAGGCCCCCGGAAACTACCATGTAACCCTGTCCGGGTTGAGCCCAAAATCTGGGCGGTTTTACCTTATGAAATTTGGCCTTCTGGACCATCTTTTACTCTATCTCGGACAAGGTTTTAGGAGGTAAAATTGTGATTTTTCTCACAGCTCAAATTTTTGGGCTGATTGACTGGGAATTGGTCTGTTCTGGCGTGGTAAATCAATTCAAATCTCTGATCAGCGGTGTTTAACACAGATGTTTGTGTCAGATCTACACCATTCCATGGCTCCAGGCACATACACACCAAAAAAAGTTCCACGCTCCGCACAATTTACTCTATGGCGGCAAGGTTCCCCGGTTTTCAG